TGTCTTAGGACTTCTTTTCCTCATAAATGAAATTCACGCTTCAAAGTACATAACTGTTTTATCATTTATGTAGTTATCATGATATGCTTAAGAAACGAATATAAAACTTTTATGGGTGATCGTAGTACTAATTGTTGGTTCCATGTTTAATCTATGCCCTAATGCAGTAAACCATTTTTCTTTTGTGTGTGCGGTAAAAAAAATATTTACCCGCGTGGTGCACACATGACATCTCGTGATGTAGAGAGAGAGAGATGAGGAATGTACAAATGTCAAAGCAAAAGATGATTATGGATCAATCACTGGCCAGGAAGTCAACATCAACAAATCTTCTGTCTTCTTCAGTGCAAATGTTCCAGCGGAAGAGAAAAATAACATCATCAATCACATTGGGTTTTCTCCGTCCAACTGCCATTCTAAATATCTTGGGGTCCCAACCGAATGGGGAAATTCAAAAAAAGAAACCTTCTATTTCCTCATTCAAAGGATGGAAAAGATGGGAGAAGCTTGGAAGAGCCTTCTTCTTTCACACGGAGGGAAGGAAGTCCTCCTCAAGTCTGTGATTCAGGCCATCCCATCCTTCATCATGTGCCTCTTCCTTCTACCTGTTTCCCTCACCAAGAAAATGGATACTCTTCTCAGCAATTTTTTCTGTTCAGGATCGATGGAAAAGAGTTCTTTGCACTGGTGTAAGAAGGAGATCCTCTGTACCCCTAAGTCTGAAGGTGGTTTGGGATTCCGAAGTTTTAGAGACTTCAATTTAGCACTTCTTGCAAAACAAGCCTGGAGGCTTCTTACCAATCCCGAGTCCTTGTGGAGCAGGCTGCTTAAAGGATTGTACTTCCCGAGAGGAAACTTTCTTACGGCAAAAAAAGGTAGCAAACCATCGTGGATCTGGGCTAGTTTGTGGGAATCCAAAAAAGTCGTTGATCTGGGAGCGGTCAGAGTGATTGGGACGGGGGAGGATACATGGATTGATCAAGACCCTTGGGTTCCTTTCCTTCATAAGGCGAGCATTCAGAGTGGACCCCAAAATCACACAAGAGTCAATACCTGGATTGATCCAGGAGATAGAAGGTGGAATAATGACATTATCGAGGGACATGTCTCATCTTCGGAAATGGAGGCTATCTTGAGAATCCCGATTGGGGAGGAGGACTCAAAGGATTTCTGGGCATGGAGTCTTAATGAGGATGGGAATTTTACCGTCAAGTCAGCATATCATGCGGTCCACAAGTCGACATATGCAGCCCATTCGATTAGTAGTATTGAAATGTGGAAATGGATGTGGAGGCTTGATATTCCCCCTAAGCTAAAGTTCTTTATTTGGAGATGTGCTAAAAACGGTCTTGCAACAAAAGAAAGACTCTTCCATAGGAAATGCTCCCCCAACTCTACTTGCCAAGTGTGCCAGGGTCCCGTTGAGTCCCTTTTTCATTGCATTTTCTCATGCCCCCACGCTTGGGAATCCTGGAACAATGTCTTCCCTTACCTTCCTCTGCCGGCTCAGTCTTCTTCTTTCCTCGATTGGTTGTTCTCCATCAAGGATTCAATCCATCCAGGGGCACTTACTCATGTTGTATTCCTTTGTTGGAATATTTGGAAGGCTAGAAATGAATGTGTTTTCAAGAATCGGATCCCTTGGTATCCGAACGTGATTTTGCGTACTTACAAGGAGTTCATCGAATGGACAACTTGCCCGAGGAGCCCCCCTTCCGATTCTCCTCCTCTTCAGCTCAGGGGATCCCATTCACTCACTTCTCCACCGCCAAGCAATCATAATCTGGTGATTCACTGTGATGGGTCGTTCTTAAGCGACTCCCAGCCGGCGGCATATGGTGTTGTGGTCATTAATCACCATGGACAAGTTTGTGATGGGCGAGCTGATACTCTCCTCTGTTCCACCCCGCTCGAAGCAGAAACCAAAGCTCTGTTGGAAGGTCTAAAATTAGCTCAAGAATATGACACGGAATGTGTTGTCCAGTCTGACTGCCAGGTGTTAGTGAATGCTCTTGATCAAGATCCTCGATGTTGGCCATGGCGGGTATCAGCTTGGATTGGATCAATGATCTCCATCCTCCGATCGAACCCTCAAGTGAAGGTCAAGGCATTTTCAAGAAATTTTAATGTTCGAGCGGATTGGGTTGCTCGATCTCTTGCTAGATCTTTTCTCTCGGTCAACTGGATTAGTATTCTTGACTTAATTTCTGATTTCCTTTGACTTCTGTAATGTTTTCTCGAGTTGAAGTGGAATAAAAGGATGAATTTTACTGTCAAAAAAAAAGTTGGGCATTTCATTTTAATTGGCAGTCGAGAATTCTGCATTAATAGGGCGTTGTGTTATTTGACTATTGCAATGGACTAGCCAGCAGCCAGCCAAACCCAGAGGCAGAGATAATCATTCCTCTTTAGTCTTTACTCTAGTCAATACCCAATGCTCCTCCAAATCTCGACAAATAACAAACAAAGTTGAAAACACCAGAAAAACATCGCCGGTAAAAGAACAGGGGAGATCAGCTAACCAGCGGACCAGAAAACCGGGCTAATTATCCATTTGGTCCCTTTACTTTACCTCCTTCCAACAAACGCACCCTTTGTGTCGTCACTTTCTTACACTCTGTTTGGGAAGAGAGGTAAATGGGAGGAGGGTGCAAATGTGAGGGGTAAACACAGTTTCCAACACATTTGCACCGGTTTGGTTAATTTGGAACAGTAGGGGGGTGCAAAACGAGAGTGCAAATTTACTGTTTCGGCTTACCCCCGAATTGGGGTGCAAAGGAAGGAAGGAAGAGAGGGGGAGGGGGGAATTATGGAATTTTGTTTTTCTAATTGTGTTATATATAATTATATAATAATTAATATTATCAATTTCTTCTTTTTATAAATATCATTAATGTAAACATTATTCGGGGTTGACCATATTTGACTATGGAAACAAGTTTATAAATGTTCGTCAAGTCAAATCTAGATCTCTTGGTTGAATCGAATTTGCATTGAAAATTAGATATACAAGGTGTTTGTTGAAAAGATAGAGAGAAATTGTTTGGTTAACTCATTTTATTTGACTAAATAGTTAAAACTTACAAATTCGAACGTGTTTGACTAAGTTTGACAATTTAAGATTAAACTAGACACGAAAACCCTATATAGGATGACCAGTTACGAGTTGAGCTTCGAGTTTTGAGATCGCTCGATCAATGATTATTACAATTGTTATAATTAATTATTATTTGAGCATTATTATATAATAACTATTTTTAGTAAAGTATATTTATTATTATATAGTAATATTTATTTTATTATTTTATGATAATATTTTATAATTTTAAAATCTATTTTATAATTTTAAAATCTATTTTAAATAATATAATTACTTACTTTGCACTTTATTTGCACCCCCTACTTTTTCATCCAAACAACAATTTACTCCTCCACTTACACCCCTCAACAATTTGCACCCCCCAGCAATTTACCCCTCAACTTGCACCCTCCTGCAATTTGCACCCCTTGTTGCCAAACAGAGCGTTAAGAACACATACACATCCAATGGCAAGTTGACACTTGGCCAGCAATGACCATTCTGATCAATTGAAATAGGAACGGTAAATGGTCCAAATCGGGATGATTACACTGGTTCATGGCAGATCGGGTCCAGGTTTAAAATCTGAGACCGACCGAGAGTCCTTGATTGGTTGCATGTTGCTGTCATGTTAAGGATACTTGACTTAAAATATAATTATAAATATAAGTAATTTGATTAATTATATTATATAGAGCTAAACATTACATATTGAGTTAGTAGGTAAATATAATTATAAATACAAGTAACTGGTTCGTAACTGTCTGTCATCGGGGTGATAAACGGTTAGTCAGTTATCGGTTTTAATCGATAACCGAGCCGATAAAGTCGGTTAGTGGTTAACCGATAACCGTTACTTTCTTATTAATTTCGGTTTCGGTTAGTAGTATTTTGGTTAGTGATTAATCGCTAACCGATTACTAGTGTGACTACATGGTTTTTTACTTTGGCTAAGGGAAAAAGTTGTAAGATTCAAAACCAATCAAAGTTGCAATTCCAAACATCCCAATTCTCACCTATTGCAAACAACCCTCCATCAAGAGTCTCAAATGTTTTTAAGAGTTAGAACTCGAAAGTCACCCCTCTCTAAATCCCCTTTGCACTCGATAGAGTGAACCTTAGGTTGATGACTATGGGCTAGATGAAGATCTTGGAGTAAATGATGACTATGGGCTAGATGAATTGGAGCGAGATCCTCGGATCATTTAGGTTGATGATTTGGAGATAATGAACTTGTTATTTGTGTCTTCTTGTGATTGTGACTTGTTGAATTGTGGGCATGTAGACTTTATGTTGTGGAGTTGTGGTTGAATTGTGTGGTTGCTTTAGGCTTTATGTTCAATTGATTTAGATGACTTTATGGTGTGTGATTATAGAGGCTGAAACAAAAGCAGGTCACTCAAAATTGAAGGTGAATCATTAAAAAAGGTGGTTGAAATTCGCTTTTGGGTGGTAGATTTCTGAACGAAAACCGAGAAAGTGAACCAGAAACTGCGGTTTCGGTTAACCGCAAGGGAAAACCGAAACCGATGTTTGCGGTTTTCGGTTAGTGATCTTGGGACAATTTTGGTTGCGGTTAACCGAAATTTCAGTGCGGTTAAACCGAAACCGCACCGACTAACACCCCTAATCCATATGATTTGATGTCCATTATGTGAATTGTAAATAATGACAGTGACCAATTCTTAAAATAGCCTCACGTACATACAGCTAAGTGACCAATTAGCAGTAGGTTGACCACATAACAATAAAGCAAGTATGGAAAGAAAGGAAAGGAAAGGAATGGAATGGGGTGAGAGAAAAGTCCAAAAGCAGGAATTCAGAAAGTGAGAGTGTAGAAGAAGAAGAAGCAAAAGGGTGGTTTCAGTTTCAGAAGAAAGAGAGAGGAGAATATTACAGCTTCGGCAGTCCTGTCTTTTTCCCTTTTCCTCCTCCTCGTGATCTCCCATTTCTCCCTTCCCCCCCTCTTTTTTCCCATTTACTTTCCTAGCCAGCGAGCGAGCAAGCTAAGTAAAGAAAGAGCACATTGAAGAAGAGGGGAAAGCAAGAAATATTTTTTTATTTAATGGGTAGTTCGTCGTGTGGAAGCGGAGGAAGGAATGGAGGAGGAGTGCGGCAGTACATAAGATCGAAGGTGCCACGCCTCCGGTGGACTCCCGACCTTCACCACCGCTTCCTTCACGCCATCGACCGCCTCGGCGGCCACCACAGTTAATACCCCACCTTGACGTATCTCTGCTCTCAGTTTCTCATCATGCTAATTGCTAACCGCTCTCCCCTTTTCAGAAGCGACGCCGAAACTGGTGCTTCAGTTGATGGATGTGAAGGGACTCACCATCTCCCATGTCAAGAGCCATCTTCAGGTTAGTTCAGTAATTTTCCCGCATCCTCCAAAATTACACCCTCACTCCTTTTTTTCCCCCCATTCTAAAGTTTCCATCTTTTATATATAATGGGTTTCTTTCTGGTCATGACCAGATGTATAGAAGCATTAGGACTGAATCTGATCAGCTGCCTTCCACCACCAACTCACCAGTAGGAATGGAGCCCATTAATGGCGAAGGCGAAGAAGGAGATGATCATCAAGAGAAGGTGAAGGAAGGGAAAGAAACCAAAAGTGATCAATTTTACCAGTTTCTTCTCCTCCCCACCCCCAAAAGGTCAGTTATGAATTTTCACCCTCCTCTGTGTTTCCTTGGCAGCATTCTAATTCTATCTTCTGGTTCCAATTCCCAGTGGTCAAACAGTGATTTCATTTTCACCATTAATGATTGCACTGTTTTTTTTTTAACTGCAGGGTGAAAGTGGAGAGCTTGAACAGTAGTGGTGGGAAAGGGGGAGACCATGGGAGCATTGTTGTGATGGATGGGGAAAGGATTAGGAAGAAGAGGAAGAGGTGGTCATCATGTAATCATCATCAGATTGTTGAGTTCAACAAGAAGAAGAAGAAGAAGAAGAAGGGAATCTTTTGTGGTACTGTTCCGTACGAATCTCTTGATCTTCTTAACCCCCACCACCTCCATCATCGTCATCATCATATCAACTATGGAATCAACTCAAATCAGCAACAGTACCACAATGGAGGTGGTGGTGGAGGAGGAGGGTTCCGGTGTGGCCAAATGCAGCTCTCTCAATATGCTCCCACTAACGTGGTTGGATTTTCCGGTTCTACCCAACACCACCGGGAAGAATCTCATTTTCTCAAGGTATATATATCTATTCAACTCTCTTGCACATGCTCACATTCTCTTTGGTATCTATTTGTCCATTTACAACATGTGGCGAAATTCTAAGGAGAATATAGTGTGAGGAAATACATAGTATATAATACATTGTAGATTGATACCTTTTTGAGGCGCGTGATCAAAGTTGAAGACATTGAGTTGAGAGAGAAGAAGGGCCTTCTTTAGCTTAAATTACAATATTGTTCGTTACGAATAATATATTCAATGAGTGATTGTGTGTCGTGATTATTTCATTCAATGAACCTAGGTATTATTCAGGTTATCTTGTTTTCCAATAAAGAAAAGTTAGTAGTATACAATATTGATAACTTACATTCTTACGAATATAGATACCCTTCAACTTTATTTCATAGTAAGTATTGAATCCCTAAAGTCATAGTCAAACAAGGTGTAAGTAGGAAAGTAGGAAAATGGGTACCCCCATCTTGTGGCTTATTGCGGTTCTTTTTCAGGACCCTTTTAGTTTTAGGCTGTGGGATCTCTGTAGGAAGCTTGCTGGGCTGTAGCTGTGTTGGTTGAGTGTAGTTTTGGGGTTGTTTTCAGCTTTAATTGAAGACGACCCTTCTTTCTTTTCTTTGCTTTTCCTCTTTCCATATCTCTTATTTATTCAGGCATATTGACAGACTACTACTACTACTCGTAATGGTCTTGCTACTTCCATTATTCCATTCCCTGCTTCCCACATCAAGCCACATGGAATATCTTTCTTTTCAGTTCTCATCAAGTCAACTTTTTTTCTTCTTTTTGTACAGAAACAGAACAAAAAGCTATTTCACCCACCTTCTCTTTTATACCTTGAGGAGTCAAAAAATTTATTATTATGAAAGGACTGGTGATCGGTTTTGCTGAGATGGTAGATTTGGTTTCTGACCACCACCGTTAGTACCTTGTGTCTCATCATCACGTATTTATTTACTTCTAATATCAAAGTGGGACGGTAATCTCATCACTTCTCTTTTTTTTAAAGGGATTTATCTTTTTTTTTTTTTTTTACTGTTTTGTTGTTTCCCAGAGAGTGTAGAGAGGAAAGTAGTGAGAATGTGAAGCTCTAGTAGAAGAAAGGAGATATATACTATACAGTACTATTAGTTTGTACTTTTCTCTAGCATATTTGTTGACTTATGTCTCTTTATTCCTTTCGAAAAAGGTAGGGTCAAATAGTATGACAACACTTTCTTGTTTCTTCTTTTACCCAAAACGCAGGGATACAAAAAAATGAAAAGTGAAAGTAATAGTTAATAGTATCATTCTATTATATTGGTGATATCTTATCTTCCACAAAATTATTAAACTTTAAGGACCATTTCATTCTAAACTTAATACGAATATATTCTTTCTCCTACTTATCGTCGTTACAGGTTATGAAAGTGGAGACCGCGGCCGAGCTAGCAAACGGCGGCAGTGGTCGGAGTGGCTGCGAGTTGTCGTTGTCGCTGTCATTACCCGGCGGAGGCAGTGAGGTTGACGGCGGTCTCTCTTCGAGCCTTACTACTTCAACGGATCATCATCAGATGGCGATAACGAGCATGTGCAACGACGCCTTCTCATCATCAGCAGCTTCTTCTTCTTCTTCATCTGCCGCTTTATCTTGTTCTTCCTCTTGCTCCAATCCTACCCTCAGCTTGGACCTTTCCATTTCTCTCTGTGGCACTTAATTAGTTAATTAGATGTATGGCGTTGTTCTTAGTTATTTGGTACTTTTTTTTTTAGCTATTAGATTAGTTTAGTTGTATTTTCTCTTTCATTGTGATAGTTTGTAGCGTGTTACTAGTCACCACGTACGTACATACCAAGTTCCATTACGTTTTGTCAACGATCAACGATGTAATTTGGGTATCTCGAAGTGGATGTTAGTGGTACAATCGGATAATATCGTCGAAGATGCCCCGATTGATGATAGTACGTACACAAATTTTGCTCGTCAGATATCCTGCTGCCCGCCATAAAAAAATAATTAAGAGTTTGAATCAGCACAAAGAATGTTCATTGGATTAATTTCTTGAAAACAAAGGATTTGTACCTTGTTAAAATCCATTGAAATCAGGGTACAGACAAAGGGAAATCCATCTCTCCTGGAAGTTGGAACTAACCAAAAAGCCGTCTGATTCTATGTTCGGGTTCGCCCATTGGGCTCTGACTTCGTCATTTGGATGGATACAGTCATAGGGGTGAACAAACACACCCGCAAACCAACCCATCCGTCCAACTCGGCCCAACCCACCCGTATTTATCGCTAAAATGAAGGTTTTGGGTTGGGTGAGGGTTTTATTTTGTACAACCCGCCTCTTTTGGGTTGGGTTTGGATTTTGGATTACACAACCCGTAGAACCCGACTCAACCCGTGTTCCAACTATTAGTATGAGTTCGTATCTAAAAATATTTATGTCGTATATAGCCATACTTATGAGAAAATTAAGATATTTCGCCATGTTTTTCTCTCATGGTCTCCATAATTTGATGCATTCATCGACTTAAAGTTTAGACATAAATTGAATATAGTTACGATTCATGTAATCATTTTTCTTGTGTACAATTTTAATAGAATAACATATTATGATTTATAAACTTTTAGCGTATTTCAACAAATATCGTGAAAAAACTAGACATATGTTGAAGTAAATCACATTTTATTAGAATTGAAACAACATTTGTGAATTTTGATAACTTTTACCTCGGTTATTCGTTTGAAATTTTAATTAGTTATAAAATATTTTTATGATGTAGAATAATTATATATTTTATATTGGGTTGGGTTTTTACTTAAAAATATCGCTAACCCGACCCAACACAATTAGAAACAAACCGTAGGGTTTAAATTTTTTTGGGTGGGTTTGGGTTTGATATTTTATAAACCGTAGTGCATGGGTCGGGTGATTAAAATGGCTAAACCCGAACCACCCGATCCATGTACACCCCTAGATCCAGATATGCTTAATTGGTTATATATGTGTGGCTATTGGGTTCCCACGACAGTACGGTGTACGGCATGGTCTTTTTCTCGTTTTGTGCGACTGGGCTATTTGACAGGTCCTGGGCCTTCCTCTCAAAGCAATTGAGCCCAATGCTTGTGGGTTGCGGGCAATCATCATGGGGCCTTTCTACCAATAAGGAGTTTTGGGTGGAAGACCTACTGGTTTGGCCTTGTATTTATTTGTGCTTGCCTTTCACAGGAGGCCAGGTACTACCACCAAGTGCAAATAATGTTTGGCATGTAGAATCTACTCGAATACAAATTTTCAAGACTTTTTTTTTATATCATTAGTCAGATGAAATAGTAGACATATATATTTACAAGGCAAAATACACTTGTATAGCCAAAACTTTCGTGTTTGTGCCACTTATAGCCACTTTTGACGAAATACCACTTATAGCTAGGATTTTGAAACTTTTGTGCCAAATATAGCCATTTCTGTTACAAACTTTAACGGTGCTAGAGACTTCGTTAGTTACTTTAACGTTAGGCTGACTAGGATGCCAAATCATCGCACACGTCAGCGACAAATCATCAATATATAATTTCCACATCACTACTTTGTAAAATTATTAATTTTGAAACTAAAAAAAACATAAAGTTTTTTTTTTCTAATTTCCCCCTATTCCCACCTTCATCCCCTCTTTTGTTTTTTTATCCCCAATTCACAAACCCTAGCCCCGTCTAGAGCAGTCCCAATCCGCCGCCGCGCCCACACCGACCAGGACTACAAAACCTACGGTGTCCCCCACCGCCGCCTCATTGGCCACTCCCATTTCGTCCAGGACGTCGTCCTCTCCTCTGACGGCCAGTTCGCTCTCTCCAGTTCATGGGACGGTGAGCTCCGACTTTAGGATCTCGCAGCCGGAGTCTCGGTTCCTAGGACGGTGCAAGTATACCCATCCAGGATGGAGACGGCCAATCCGATTGGGTGAGATGTGTGCGTTCGTCACATTTCTCTGCCGCCCGATCTTTCGCAGTAGTCGCCCAGATCTCTCTGCCTCCCGATCTCTCAGCAATCGTCGCCCAGATCTCTCCGTTCGTTAGATATCTCCGCTGCCCGAAGCAATCGTAGCCCAGATCTCTCCGTTCGTCAGATCTCTCCGCCGCGGATCTTCGCCCAGATCATCGGTCTTCGCCATTGAGGGAAGGGCGTGATCGTCGGTCTTCTCCAAATCGTCGATCTTTCGGCAGGGGTTGTGGGCTTGCCATCGGTGGAAACATATCTGAACCGTCGACAATATTAGGGGATAATTCTAATTTTTTATCCCCTGATACGCAAAGCAAATGAGCTCACAGAGCCAGGAGTAGATCTCCTTTCCGGTTGCTCAAGGATGAACGGAAAGAAATCGGGGGTAAGGTAGAGTCGGAAGGAAGTGCGGGGAGGGAAGGGAGAAAGGCAGAATGATAAGGACCATTTTTTATTATAGGGATAAGAGACCTCAAGTGGACAACTCTTTTTTTCAAATTTGTTTTTGTTATTTTTTCAATTAAATTCATGTGTCAAATTAATGTCGCCACGTTAGCCCTTCTGTTAGTCCAGTCAGCACGTTAACTAACACCGTCAAACAATTGGACGAAAGTGGCTATTTTTTGTATTTCGCCAAAAGTGGCTATATTTGGCCAAACCGTCAAAGTTTTGGCTACACAAGTGTATTTTGCCTATTTACAAAATGTAAAAGTAACGACAGTCGATACTAATCGATCTGTCGATGAAAGAGCCTTTTATGCCACTAAATGGGCAGCTCGGTTAGTTCTCTAAGAAAAAATGACGAAAACACACTTAAAATCACTAAAGATACGATACAACTCCACCACCCTTCGAGCTAGCTGCCATAACAGCGACTTCCTTTGCATGAATTCCAATTCCTTTATAAGCAGCCACCAAACGCAGAGCCATCCTTCCTATGAGTTGCTGCTTGGGAAATGCCCATTATTTTGCCAAAAGCCAAAGCAGCTTCGCCTGCAACAAAACAAAAGAACAGAGAACCCAGCCCAAGTTCCAAAAGCAGAACAAAAAGCCTAGATAAACAATATAGGTCCACGCGACCAAACCCCAGATCCTAGTTGCTGTTTATTGGTCCAAGCATACAAACTTGCAAAATGAAACTACAACAACCCAAGAAATAAGACATACATGATTACAATTGGGTCAAAAGTCATAGACAGTAATCAAACGAGTGTCGAACTACCGATGAAAGGGCTTGTTTTGCCACTAAACGGACAACCCTGTTAAACATTCGAGGGGGAAAATAAAAATGAATAAACGTGAACGAGCCGCAGAGCAAGCGAACTTCTTGAAGCAGAGCACCCCCAAGGTCATGAGCCACAACTCCCGCCATCACACGCCGAATCACAAGTTGTGAGTCCCCACAAAAACATACATGCAGAAAACCGTGCATTAAACACCAATTCACTACATCTCGGATAGCTAATAATTCCATGAGGAAGGGATTTGTCATACCAACATAAAACTTATCAACTGCAAACTCTAAGTTACCGTGTTCTAGACTTCTGTTTTCAGGTTGCTATATTTTTAATTTATTATGGAGATCAGATGTGTTCTAGATTTGATATTTATAATATTGAATTTATATTATTTGTTTTAAGAATCGATTACAAATTGAATTAGATGTTCTGTGGTTGGAATAAAATAGTAACTCTTGAACTTAAAATAACAATACCATGAATTGGTGAATGAGATAATTTTGGCGTTGGTACTTATTCCATTCTAGTGCTCGCCTTAGCCCCCTTGAGCTGTTGGATCGGTTACTTGAAATTTACTAAAGTAAACTTATTAGAGGTTATCAAAGTTTTTTTTTTTATATGAATGTATCTAGATTATTCATTTATGTGTTAGTATGTTGTTTTTGGTCATCTCTATGCTAGGTGGTATGGCCTATGCATAATTGAGGTAACAATGCAGTAAGGATAATTCGGAGCTCGATTTGAGACATTGGTAACGTATTTGGACCTCAAAGGGATGTGAAAACAGTCCATCTCACATTCTGGAAGCTCCAATCTAAAAGCCATGACTCGTAGAGAGTTAGATCGTGAGTTTGTAAAATGAAAAAAACAATTGAAATCTCAACCGTTGAAGTGATTGAATTTCCACATATCGAGGACAAGCCTTGATATTGACCTAGACCGCATCCAAAACACTGATATCTCGTAGTGTATTGGACATAAAATGCAGGTCATTTCGATGCATCATTTTGATTCTGTGGTGTTTTGAATCAAAATGATGTATTATTCTGGTATGTGGCATTTCATGAGGCATTAAAGTTTGGAATGTGGCAATTGAGAATAATGGTCTTGTTTGGATACAATATTTTGCAAGTTATGGTATATTTCACCACTTAAAGAAGGGAGGTTGTGTTAATTGAAATGTATATGGGGAAAGGAGGTATTTCAATTGACTCATGCATATCATTTCAATTGTCACGGGCCAAAAATACCACAACCCACCTTATGTTTGCCAAACTAATTATTTCGGCTCAAACAACTCATAGTTACTTATTTCGACCGAAATAACTAATGCATATGCGGTATCTAGACGACCCGGTGAATAATTATGTCCATTAGTAGAGAATGGATTAAGTAACTACATGAATGATAGATAACAGGGAGAGCTGTTTATTAAGGAATAAGTAAGTAGATGAATGATAGATAATAGGGAGAGCTGTTTACTAAGGTTAGTGGGAGACGATACACTTGTTCATCATTTGCAATCTGAACCTGGGCGTTCAATATGTGTATCAATAACTAGTTAAGGTAAGCAAGCTAAGCTACCCTTCCTAATCGGTTGGTTTCCTTGCCTTGTAAAAGGGATAATAACATGGTTGTCACGCCGGCCGGCGTGCCACCGGTTGTACCGGGTTCAACCGGTACCGGTCATAAAACCGGCGTGACACCACCGGTATGACCGGCATGATCGATATACGAATTTCTAAGTAAAATGACCTTATTTTAGAGAATTTAATTGATAAAAATTATTTTATTATTTATTTTATGAGTATAAAAGTTAAATATTGATGTTATTTGTTGGATTCAAGTATAAATATTTAGGTATTGACGTTAAATGTCATGTTTAAATATGAGTATTTATAATTTTATTTGTAATAATGACCGGCATGAACCGGCACAAACCGGTATGTGCCACCGGTTAAACCATTCCACTTGCTAAACCGGCACACTGGCATAAACCGGTTTGACAACCTTGGATAATAATAAAGATTCTCTTTTCCGAAATTTCATCCCATCCCCGCATCCCGTGGGTTTTGCGCTAAGACAAAATCCTGACGTGAATGCGATAGGGGCCGAAGAGAGAGAGAGAGACAGACATAGTCACGTAGATGGACCGGAATGTGGGGAGAGCATGGTTGTCAACCAGCGGGTGGATCTACTTTGATTTTGATCCAGTGAAAAAAACGGGTCGCATGTATCAGTCAGGCCGATCGTTACAAGGTACCGGGTTGAAGGTCAAATTGTGTCTTTTTTTTTATTTGGTTTGCGAAATGCGCCTATTTATCGATTTTTCTTTTCACCTAACTCAATTTTTGGAATTCTTAGTTGAACATTTGAATACTTATGTTATATAAGTGTGTGTGAATTTTCACTATATGTTGGACCTAAGGACGCCATGTTATTTTTGGTGTAATGTTATGTGTTATTACTCATATGTTAGATGAGATTTGATATAATTTATCAGGATAAGTACAATATAATGACTCTTTTCATATTTTCGGGTCAAAACAGACTAAAACGGATGACCCGTTAACCCTTAACTCACTAGTTCGATCGGGTCCGGATCAACCCGCGGGTTGACAACCTTGAAAGAGAGAGAGGCAGCCGGCGAGCTGGGGGGTTGAGAATTGAGGTTTTTTCTTTCGTTTCCCCCACCACCTTCACCACCAACAATCCAGCATTGCAACAACAAAGACTACTCATTCATTCATTCACCTCCATTTCTTCCTCTCCTCTTTTCTTAAAATATGGAAAATTTGCATGCAAACCCAACGCACGGCAGCAAAAGGGTGGTTTCCTTTTTGCCGGTCTCTCCCTACCGTCACGTCCTTCTTTTTTTTCACCCGCCGGCCCCTTTCCTGTACAAATTTCCCCCCACCTTCATCATCCATTTCCGGTTATGCCCGATTCATCCCACCCTCCCCCCTTCCTTTTCCTTCAAGGGAAATGAAAAGAAAGGGAAAAGCAGAGCACACAAAATCCACTCACAGGTGGGTTTCTTGATTAATTAAACAATTAATTAATTAGTAAGGGTGGGGTACAGGCATGAATAAACAAATGGTATTAAGTATTAACATTCTCTTATGATGATATGATCAGAATCCTCAGTTACATTAATAATAATTGTTGCCACTTTACACCTGGAATTCAGTGATGCATGCAACAACAAGGGAGAGAAGATGTAGATGTAGAAGTAGAGAGAATTAATACCCACCTCACCTAGACCTTGCTTGACCCTTTCTCTATCTTTGTCTCATTCCATTAATTAATTACAGGAGTAGGGGGTTGCTCCTTTTATTGAAATTTGTTGGTTCTGGTTTGAATTTTTTTTACTTTTCAACTTTTCAATTTGAGAAAGATATATACTTTTCTTTATCACATTTTGAATAAAAAAATAAAATAAAATATACATTTATTTGATTCTTCTCAAACTTGTGGTATAACATTTGAAGAAGAAATGTATGAATTTAGGCGAATCATCTATTTACTCGTTACAACTTTTCAAATTTATCGAGTGATAATTTATAGTGACAACTTCATGAGTAGAAATGAATGTAGTAGTTGTAAATTCTAAACTATGTGAGCAAAATTTAACAGACACTGGTGATGTTGACTGTAGCATTGTGATAAAAGGCGTGTTTTACACACACAAAAACTGTGGTACATCATAGACACGCCCTGTAAAAAATATTTATCATTCAGGTCACAAAAGATAGAAACCGAACTCTAGCTAAAGCTAAGTTACAAATCATATCATTTGTACAAAAAAAAGGTACTAAATATATTGATACGCTACAAGTTACACTGGAATTCAACCAACACAGAGTTACACTTGTCCGTATCAGTTCACTATCATTAAGTTTGACATTTATTAATCACATTGTACCACATTATTATCATACCGAACAAGTATTCATTAACCGAAGATCAACAACTATTCTGTTTTAAAACGTATCAATCATAATGTTCTCGTAACAATATGAACCGACTCTTTAGGAATTTCGAATTTTCACTATAGTTTTAAAAAAAAAATTAAAATTGATTTTAAAAAATAGAGGCGAAATGTAAATAAAAATTGGAAAAGTAGGAAGGGAAGGGTGTGACGTGTGAGGTCCACCGGGAAAGAGTGAGGGACCTGTGAGTGATGGTGGCAACTTTGTTCGCACGTAGGCAATAGAATTAGAATTAATTAGCAAAAAAAAAAAAAAAAAAGACTAGTCCCGATTTTTATATATAGAGAGAGAGAGAGCGCGCGCGCACCATTCACTGTCGTGATGCGGCTGTAGGGGATTGGGTCCACCGACTTGTTCTTGTGGGGTCCATCACTCTCCGCCTTTCTTCCTTCCTCTTTTCCTTCCTCTTTTCTTTTCCTTCATCTTCTTCCTAAGCCATACCGTGAACCCCAAAAAGAATAGAAAAAACCAAAAAGAAATAAAAACAGAGGAAACCGCAAGAAAACAGATGGATTTGGGAAGCAGGAATAAAACTGAGTGATGTATGAGATAGAGGAGGTGGTGGTGTTATTACCTGTGCATGACACCAAACCATACCTTTAAAACTAAAGTCTGCTTTGCTAGTCCCAATCCCCAAAACACGCACAAAAACCTAAAACCCTAAAATCATTTGCATCTGTTTTTAACCACTCAGAGAGAGTGGGAGTGGGAGCAAAAGAGATCACATTGTTTCCCAAGAAAGTAGAAACAGATTAAGTTTAGGGTTATTTAGGGTAGATAAATATATAGGGTTTATGGTAGGGATGGTAAAGCTAACAGTTCCGTTCGATCGTTAAATCGAAGACCGTCAACAAAATTTTCCCTTGTAACAATTGCTAATTATTTTGGCTAATCATAATAGTAAAGGACGACCTTAATTAGTAGTTCGATTACAATTCGATAGAACTAAAAACTAAATGAAAATAAATTGGATTTTTGCTGGATGGTTTTGTTTTTGGTTATTATTGGTGATTCTTAGTAGCTTATCAAATTTAACTGAACCGAATCCAATCCAATCAGCATATAATTTTTTTTTAAACTATTCAAATAAGATTCGATTTTCTTACAAACCTTTTTAGACATTTTGAATTCTCTTCAATCGAATAACCAAAACTGACTTTAACACCCTAGTTCATCATTATATCGTATTGACACTATTAGTAATCCAGGAAGTTCGTAACAATATTTAAATACGGGTATTAATTAGTCTATCCATGATCAAGTATCTTCAAATGAGTTTTCTTGTGTGTGGTAATAGCCTAATAGGGCGTAACCGCGTAAGGACAACCACATACATAAATTCAGTCTGATATGGATGAGACCTGATTTTGAATGCGAGAATCTTTGGAATGAAATTAATGCTTCAGCGACTTCGGTTGTTATATTGTTAATGTAATATTGAGATTTTCCTCATAGTTCGAGAAACGGCATATATAGTTCTGTCAATTCAAATTCAAAATCATAATAAAAGAATAAGACAAAAAAATTCTCAAAAGAAGATGGTAAAAAAGTTTGTTAGCTAGCTAGGATAAATAAAAGCAAGCACTTGCATTGCATATAAACCCTTTTACCATAACTTGTTCATAGATAGATAGAGAGAGTAGATGGCCAGTACTTCTCATCAATTTCACCATCTTCATTCTTCCCCCCTCTCTCTCTCTCTCTCTCCATATATATACAGAGAGACAGCCTATGGCTCAGAGCTTTTTCCCCCCTTTCTGTTTTGCTCTCTCCCTCTCTCTCACACCCTACCCTCCTCCTTCCCTGTTTCAATCTTATCTCTTTCTCCCCCTTTCCACTTTCTCCATTTCTAGGGTTGTTAATAACTCAGAAGCACTCCACCCCCTTACACAAGAAAAAACCAAATCACAGTCTGTGCTCCCTCTCTTTCCCCTTTCCTTCTCCTCAATCATCCATCTTCACTCTGAGCCAAAATTTTGCATGTGAGGTGAATTACAGCACAGCAACAACAGCTACTACTCCTCTCAACAATTCTTCCTTCTGCCTTTGCTTCTTAAGGAATAATTAACCCAAAGAAGAAGAAGAAGCAGCACAAGAAGGAGAAGAAGAATAAGTGAGAGATGACGACCTCTTCATCATCATCGGTTCCATTCTTTGGGATGGGCAGGGAGGAAGTGGATGAGCAGATGATGAAGCAACAATCCGCGGCCGCGGTTGGAGTTGGACTGGGAGGATTGCATCATCATCATAATCCACATCTCCATCTCCACCACCACCACCACCAACTTCTCCAGCATTCATCTTCCCTTTTGAGTAATTCTCAGCTCACCACCGCCGGAGCACAGCAGCAGCCGCCTCCGCCGCTGTCTGCCGCAAGCTCAGCCGCCGGTTCTGGCCCTCCTCAGCTCAAGAGGAAGCGCAACCAGCCTGGAAATCCAAGCAAGTACCTCCTATTGGCTACCTACCTTGCTTTGCTTCTATATCTTCATCCAATTCTTTGTTAAAATTGAATCCTTTTTCTTTTGCGTCCTCAAATGAGAGATACAAAAAGAAAGAAGAAAGAGAGAACAAGATCTACCCTCAATTACCTTACAGCCACTATTTACAACAGCACCCAAAAAAATCATAATCTCTTTTTCTTCTCGTGAAATTCAGAGAAAAAAATGGCACAATCACGAGTTAATGGAACCAACTGGTTTGACACGGTGATCAGGACAATCTACAAAGCTAATGTTGTTCCAAAATTCAGCAAATGAACAAAACAATAACTCATCTATTCATACGAGTCATCGAAACAAAATGTTTTGACCTCTTTGTTTAGTTGTTGAATTGGCACCAAATTCCAAACTTTAGCTATGTTCCATAGTGGGAGTAGTGGCATGGTGTGATTATCTGTGGCGTCTGTTTCTGTGTCAACACAATTTCGGGTCAATTGCTTTGTTTGTTTCTTAGCATTTGGTTGTTTCTAACAGTGGGTTTAATTTCTTGTTTCTGTTTCTCCTTTTTTCCCCCCCTCCCTCTCCCCCTCCTTCCTCTTCTTGTTTGGTTGCGTGTTTTGGTTTCTGCCACCCCGCGGATAGATCCAGACGCGGAGGTGATCGCGCTGTCGCCAAAAACCCTAATGGCGACCAACCGGTTCATCTGCGAGGTATGCAACAAGGGCTTCCAGCGCGAGCAGAACCTGCAGCTCCACAGGAGAGGCCACAACCTGCCGTGGAAGCTCAAGCAGAAGAACAAAAACGAAGTCGTGAAGCGCAAGGTGTACCTGTGCCCGGAGCCGACGTGCGTCCACCACGAGGCTTCGAGGGCGCTGGGGGACCTCACGGGGATCAAGAAGCACTACTCGAGGAAGCACGGCGAGAAGAAGTGGAAGTGCGACAAGTGCGCCAAGAGGTACGCCGTCCAGTCAGACTGGAAGGCGCACTCGAAGACCTGTGGAACCAGGGAGTACCGATGCGACTGTGGCACCCTCTTCTCCAGGTACACACGATATATCACAACTTTCTTTTTAATTCGCGAAATTCATTATTAAACCTTCTCCCAATGAATCGCGCGCGATTTGGATTAGATAATCGGGGGGGGGGGGCATGAGTAGTGGTGCAGGTGGGTACTGTTATACACCGTGGGTGTGTTTGTTGTTGTGTTGTTTTGTTTTTCGTATGCTTACTTCATACTTGTTTCGTTTTTTTTTTTTTTTTTTCTTTCTCTTCTGGCACATAAGATTCCTTCGAGGGGCTAGAATTTATATTATTTATTGTTTTTTTTTTCTCTCTTGTTCTTCTTCTGTGGGTATGAGTTACGTTATGATGTGGCTAAGTGGACAGGTGGAAGTAGAGAGAGTAGAGAGTCAAAGCAAGGGTGAGTGAGTGTGTTATTCGAAACGGTTTCAAGTAAAGAGAGAATGAGAGAGAGAGAGCTATATGGGAGTAAAGCGAGGCACGTGAAGCAGCCAGCCATGGCAAAACTGCCATGCTCGTCATTTTTTTTTTTTTTGGGTTTGTTCTTGTGTGTAGAAAAAGAGTGTGTGGGTCTCTCACTTTCAAAGTTTTCAACAAACCCATAACCCAAGACAGAAAAAAAAGTCTCTGCCGGCCGCCTCAAACGATGAAAAGTTGTTTAGAAAGCTATAAATTGTAGTAACAAGCATGATAATTAGGGCTGGCTATTTGGACCGGGACCGGATGAAAAACCGGAAACCGGACCGTATAACCCGGACGGAGACCGGACCGGGACCGGATAGTAAACAATCCAATTCAATGTTTGGGCTTAGATTTGAGGTAAAAAACCGGATAAAGACCGGATAAGAGAGCTTAACACCCAAAACTTAAGGGTAATTTGCATAAACGGTCACAAACCTTTGCACTTAGTACAAAACTTAACCAACTCCTCACCCTTTTAGGCCTTAGGCCACTCAAATTCCCACAATCTCAAAATAAAATCAAGACCGGATTGGGACCTGACCGGGTCAAGACCGGACCGGATCAAGACCGGACTGTATCCAATCCAATCTTTGGTCCTTATATTTTCAAAAAAACCGGACTGGACCGGATCAATTTGGACCAATTTAACCGGACCGGACCGTATAGCCACCCCTAATGATAATGCACACGTAATAACATGTCCAAACAATGGAAAAGTATGGATATTGGGTCTTGAAATTGAGGGTGGTATACTATATGGTGAACCCTCGAAAACAACGCCATGAATGTCTCTCGATTGAGCTAGCAAGGTTACAGAGATAACTAAAGAACAAACGATAAACTGATAAACTGAAAGGATTTCTTCTTCATTCATGATAATCGAACTAACGTCGTGGATACATATATATATAGACGATAACCCTAAACTAATCCTAATTATACTCGGCAACCTTTAACTTGGGCGTTACTCAACTAATAAAGACTCACTAATCCTACAAGCTTATGTCTCCTAATTGATCCCTACTCCCTATTAGTAATAATAATAATACAAATAGAAGACCCCCCATGTCACATACTCGTAACACAATGACTATCTCTCTCTCCCTCTCTCTCTCCTCTTCTCTCTATTCACGTGTTGCTAGCTAAGACATTGCCTGCCAAGTGCAAGCAAGGAGGCAGGCAGGGTTTAGTTGTTTGGGGGTGGGGGCTGGGAGTAAGAGAGGAGAAGAGGAGGGGGAATTGTTGTTTTGCCATGTTTGTAAGGAAGCGGGTTGGCTGCTTGTGTTCAGGCCTGAGATGTTGCAGCTGCTCCTTTTCGTGATAAGCTCCTCCTGCCTGCTCTAGCTCCTCTCTCTCTCTCTCCCTCTCTATGAATATGATTGTTGCACAATAGTAAAATGCCAGTTTGGGCAACAAAGCTAGAGTCCCTCACCAGAAAGCTTTGCTCTCTATTTTTTACCTAGGCATCATCATCACCACCATCATTGCATTCAATTTGCTAGCTGCGAGCTCTTCAACCTTTTGAATAAAAATTGAAGCATGAATTTATGGGTTTGATTGATTCACTTTCATCATGTTGGAATACAATACATTCTCTTGTTGCATTTATTGAACTCTCACTTCCTATTTTGGCATCTCACATTTCCATCACTCCGCTACTATTACTATATACTACTTCCATTAATTTCCCACCTTCCACCCGCACTTCATTCATTGCCATCTTCATTAAATTTCGCACACTATTACCATTTTTATTCCTTTTTATTTTTTCCTATGGGTAATCAAGCATTATTGTCGTACTAATACTAATCATCTCTAGTTACAACTTACCACCTTTCATGTCCCCGGTTTAATATATATCTTAATTAATTATCTAGCCAGCTAGGCCGGCCTGAATGATGATTTGTTAGCGCACGTTTGTCGTTTTTGAGTTTGCACAGAATTCTCCCTCAGTTTGATTCCAATAATTAATTCTTCTCCCTAAAAAATGTTTTTTTTGTCTCCATATTTATTTGCATTACACTTAATTTCACTGCGTGCGTGTTCTCTGCGGTCCAAGTTAATTAATTAATAATCCCGAGAAAAATATTAATTTTTTTGGCGTCCCGTGACTGTCCAACCCAATGTTTCAAAAAGGAAATTATGTAGAATCACATAATAATTATGTAGAATCACATATATATTATATATAGCTGCATGCTGTGTTTCTTTTAACCTATTATTTGGATTCCTCATGTTTATATCTTTGCTACAGCCTACAGACATATATGTATATGTTACACTGAAGAAGGACACCTCAGTACTCACATGTCACCTCTTTTTTCTCTTTCCTTTTTTCCCCGTTAGCTAGTCATCCCCTATTTTCTGGCTATCCCTTGACTTCAACACCTGTATTTTAAATATATACTAATAGTACTTACTATTTTATATTTAATTAATTACCATGGTAATAATTTGTGGAATGCATGCAGGCGGGACAGTTTCATCACCCACAGAGCATTCTGCGACGCACTGGCTCAGGAAAGCGCCAGAAACCCTCCACCCTCCCTCGCCTCCCACCTCTTCACCGGCGCCGGAGGCGCAGCAGCCGGCCTCGCCAACAACACGACCCTAGACATTTCCTCCTCCACCGCTCATTCATCCGCCGCAGCCGACATCCTCCGCCTCGGCGGATCCACCACCGGCCCCGGACAGTTCGACCACCTCCTCCCTCCTTCGACGACGACAGCCACCTCGCAGCAGTTCCGAAACCAGCCCCACTTGTCACCTTCCTCCGCCGCTTTCTTCATGCCACAACAAGACACCTCCGACCACCACCAGCCATTCCACCATGCCCTAATGCAACAGTTTTCGTCGGATCCCAACAACGCGGGCGGCGCAGCCGCCAACCAGCTCTTCAGCCTAGGGTTCGACGGCACCACCACCACCAACAACAACATGATGACTCTCTTCGCCAATAATAACAACCACGGCGGCGTCGGCGGCGGCGGCGGCGGCGATCATCAGCACCAGATGATGATGGGATCGTCCACCGGCGGCAGCGTCCCCCTCTTCAGCTCCTCCGTCCACCAGCAGCAGATGAACAACATGGTGGCTCACATGTCGGCGACGGCGCTGCTCCAGAAGGCGGCGCAGATGGGGTCCACCACCAGCTCCAACCCAAATGCCACCACCAGCGCGTCGCTTCTCAGAAGCGCCTTCGCCGCCGGCCCCAACAACAACCACCAAAAATCATCGTCCGGCGAAAAGCAACCGAGTCTCGGGACCTTCGGCGGGTCGTTCTTCGGCGACGTGGACACGGACAACGGCAGCAGCAACAATCTCCACGACCTCATGAACTCCTTCACCGCCGCCGCCAACGGCAACAACAATAACAATAACGGTAGTGGTAGTAGTAACAACAAGAAGCTGACGAGGGATTTCCTGGGAGTTGGACACGTGGCGGCGGCGGTCAGAGGCATCGCCACCACTACCAACACTATCTCGCAGCAGCAGCAGCAAATAGGGGCGGCGTTGGAGAGAAGCTCGTCGTTGGATTCGGAGAGGAACAATAATAACAGCATGGGGAGTCACTCGTCTTTCGGGGGAAACCCTAGCTTTCAATGAAATCATGAAAGTCAACCATGCACACCACTTACTACTACTACTACTAGGGAATTGGAAAAGCAGTATGATGATGATGACGACGACGATGATGATCACCATGTTGGCGCAAAAAGGACTCGAGGTACGTCGAAAAATTCGGAAAAAGCTAGCTAGCTCGTTGCTGTAATAATTCTCTTTTTAACCTTTTTCACATATATGCGTTAGAGTAGTGTTGTTCTTTTGCTTTTTTACTGGTTGGGGGTGACGGTGTAAGTAACACTGTGACTGACAAAGATAGAGTAGTTTTGCATGGTAAGATGGGTCCACGAGATGGAGTGGCGAGATTTTGTGTTGTTTCCCTTGTCTTTATATATCAATTTTCTCTGGTATTCTATTTAAGAATTTTTAAGAAAAGAAAGGAGGAAGGCAATGATGGTAGTAATATGTATGCGAGGATGGGAATAATATTAGGCTGGCAAAGGGGAGGGAGTCACGAGAGTTGGTCCTTAGGATTGGATTCCATTTGGTCCTTGTTCTTGTTCGACCATGATAGAATGTCGTCGACTGTCTACCCCCACCCACTTGCCGTTTCTGCCTTGTTCCGGTATTTCTTTACTTGCACTACAAAATTGGGAAGCATTAGGGACAAGTATAAAGGACGACTGTTATATTTTGACCCCGGAATTATAAATCTAAGTGATATAAGGGACAAGCTTGTAAAACTGTCCCCATAAAACTAATAATCAATATTTCGTTAATTTAGAATTTTGTTAGTTGTCCCTAAAATAACTAGTTTGGGCGAAGGGGAAGATTGTGGTGGATTTCAAGTTAAAAAATAAATTGATTCTGTGGATTCTTTCCTTAAGAGATAACCGGCGCACAAGTTGGGTACGGGATTTTAGTGAATTCTCTAACAAACTCATTTTTAGAATTTCTTGTTTGCTTTATGAGCTCTGATGGTAGAATTAGTTATAATCTTTCCTTGGGAATTCATGCCAATGGTGCATAGTTCTAATCTTATGTTGTGTGTTATTTTTATTCTTAGATTTATGGTAATGCCTATGATACTTTCAATTCATCATAATTTGGAGAAAGCGGTTTATCATTTTAGTAAATCGGTCAATTGTTTATGTCAAGTCATCTATCGCTTTGGACAACTGGTCGACCTCTTATGTCAAGCAGTCTAACACTTTCGGTAATCGTTCCATCGCTTACGACAACCAATCGATCGATTATGATTGTGGGAGAAGATTGTGGGAGAACAATCACCCGAGAAACTTGTTATTTATACTCCAATGTTTGTACTTAGGTCAACTCTCTTACGAGAAATTAAGCATATTAGTATTGAGTGTATGTAATTAAATATGACGATTTCACTAGAGTTCATGCATCTAGTCAACTATTATTAAACATGATCGATCGCTTGTTAAAAGTGATTGACAGATTTCTGCGAGTTAAGATGACTTGTAAATCACCATAGTAAAGTTCATAATCGTTATAATCATTACTATGATTATTATTCTTATCGATCTCTAAATTGTTGGTTGGTGATTTGATGGTGATATGGAAAATGACGGCATACAAGGGAGAAAATTAAAGTAAAGAAGAGGAAAATAAAAGAATAATAGAAAGAGGAGCACTTTCTATTATGTTTTAAAGTATTGGTGATTTAAAGTATAATTTGAAGTTTTATAATAACGTTAAATGTACAAATTGAAGTTGTACCATGAGAGAATTTGACATTTATTTTTTGATACAATTTTAAGTTGTAAAGTTATACAATAATATAAAGTTACTACTTCAAGTTGTACTATAAAAACAAAAACAAAGTACCAATACTTTAAATATTGTAAAATTCCTCTAGAAAGAGTAACTAAAATAAATGAGTAGTTTTTTTTTTCTTATGATTATCTTTGAGCTTACGTTTCGCAGGTCAATTAGGCCCAAACCTTAATCCCAGAAAAACTTTTAACCCCTAATCCGAGAACCTTCCATCTCATCTCAACCATTAAATTCGTTTAACTAAATCCTCACCATCTATTAACTTACAAAACCCTACCTCCGTTACATATTTGCATTTCACTCTGCCGGTAGACTTCCGCATTCTTCCTTTTTATTTTCTCTTTCAATAGAGTCGGCTGCCGGGGTTAGACCAATCCCTTTCCCTTATTTATTTTTATCGCCGCTTCTTATTTCCCTCTCTTCTTCACAATCCAAGTTGGTGATGCTCTTACCCATATTGTAGCGTCGTCGGCATTCCCTTCTACTTTGTATTAACCGGTACAGATTCAATCTATTTCTTTTAAGTTTTGTTTGAAATTTTGATATAGTTTAGCATATTATGAGTTTTGTTTTGCAACGGGGTGAATGTGTTCGTAAGCTTTTGTTGGATCTATCCTTTCTTGAGTTTCATACTTTTTTTATTCTCTTCTTGACTAGGCACCGGTGATGACGATGATTAGGCACGCAGAGGGAAAAATAAAGCACGGTTCAAGTGAAGCAATGGTAACTAATGGCAGCTAGCTACCGGAGGTCTGGCAAGAGTAGCATTCGTCATTTTGATTTTGCGTCTTTCCAAGACTTTGTATACATTGTCCATATTGTATTCTATCAGGTGTACATTTTTTTTTACATAAGGAATGAGATAACAATTGAGATATTATTCAGACTCGATCGCCTCATAGGGACAGGGATAACTAATCGTCCCGACATATTTCTAATTTGTATCCCCAACTAGTAAGATCAGAGACCATTAGTCGTGCCTAAAAGTTGTTTCCAAAAATACAGTATAAGGGACCAGTTGTTGTCCTCAAATATATAAATTTTCGGGGACGATTTGTTGACTCTAATTTTAGATTGATGGGAACGACATTTAGACCCTATGAAAAAGAAAAGGGGACGATATATGGTTCTCCGATAGACACAACACGATCACGAAATGAATTATAGGGGACATCATTTTGTCCTTAAAAAAATGTTGAGGGGACGACTTATTGTCATCGAAATAATGGTTATAGGGACGACATGTCGTCTTTCATGTAAAATAAATGGATGCCAACTTTTGAGTTGCGGGGATGGCTGTCGTCCCTAGTATCGGGGACGACCTATATTTTGTCGTCCCCAAAAAAATAGAGGACAAGCGTATAAGGGACGAAATATTGGGGACGACTAAATGGTCCCCAAAAAATATGGGGACGATTTTGCCTATTTTCGGGGACGACAAAAGTCGTCCCCAAACCTCCTCTTTTTTGTAGTGTTGAAATGATTCATTCACTAATCACATGATTGTCTATAGCCTGTTAGAGAGTGATATAAGATCCAACATAATCTTCTCTCAACAACTCGAGTTATTGGAATCAGCGGGTTCTTGACATGGTATCAGAGCTGGTTTGACCAAGTGGTCGTGTGTTCGAATCTCCACGACCCCAGATATTAACAGTTGATTAAAGCACACGGTATAGTGATCGTCTGTGCAAACTTCAATTTCATGAGTTGGCTTTCATTTGAGGGGGCGTGTTAGAGAGTGGTATAAGATCCATCATAATCTTCGCTCAACAACTCGAGTTATTGGAATCAACTGGTTCTTGACATAGCCAAACTATTATCACAATAACCCACAAACAACTAGTTTGCCAGCTAGCTCACCACCTTGTATTAATACTGTCCTTCATGTATGTTGTTAAGTGCAAAAATTTGAAGAGTGTTTTGGTTAGTTATAGTTACATATACCTAATAAGGGGGAAGCTATACCTAAACAGCAAGAATATGGTAACTGTAAATTGTAATGCATGGGCTGACTACTGACAGCACAATGGCGGGAGGGGGAAAAAATTCAAAAGTACCACTATTAAAAAAAAATCCAAAAATATCACCCAACCCTAAAAAATTCCAAAAATATCACATTTTTTCAAAAATTGCCACCCCACCCTGCGGTTTACACGAAAACCGCTGGGCGGGGGCACAGTTTTCTATGCAAACCGATGGGCTAAGGGGCGGTTATAAAAACCGTTGGCTGGGGCGGCGGTTGTGGGCCAAACCGCCACCTCACCCAGCGGTTTGGTCCAATTTTTTTTTCTTTTCGGTCAACTCCTAACTTCGGTCGAAACTTCAAACGAACGTAACTTTGCACTCGGGTATCCGATCGTAGCGATTTTTTTTTAATCCGAATAAATTTTTGAGATCTTGCAATGTCCCGCCTTCGTCTCGAAAAAACGTCATTTGCTACTCCGAACGAGCTTTTTTTTATTTCGTCAAACTTTGGGCGGCCATAACTTTGTGCTCCAAAATCCGAACGTCATGAATTTTTTTTTGATTCCGCATAACTTTTCAAGATCTCCAACTTTTAAGATAATCATAATTTTGAAATGTACATGGATTTGTGAAAAGTAAAGGTAAAGTTATTCCCAAGGTCCCGTATATCCACAACTAATTCCTGTTTTGAAAATTTAATCCTAGTAAAAGTTGTAGATCTTGAAAAGTTATGCGAACTGAAAAAAAAATCGCTACAATGGGATACCCGAGTGCAAAGTTACGTTCGTTTGAAGTTTCGGCCGAAGTTAGGAGTTGATCGAATTTTTTTTTTTTTTTACCAAACCGCTGGGTGGGGTGGCGGTTTGGCCCAAAACCGCCGCCCCTCCCAGCGGTTTTTATAACCGCCCCTTAGCCGAGCGGTTTGCATAGAAAACCGCGCCCCCACCCAGCGGTTTTCTAGTAAACTGCAGGGTGGGGTGGCGGTTTCGAAAAAGAATAGTAATTTTAGAATTTTTTAGGATTGGATGGTATTTTTGGAATTTTTTTTTAAACAGTGGTATTTCTGAAAAAAGTCCGCGGGAGGGAGAGCCACCATGTACCACCTGTTGGAAATGTGTATGAATAGCTTTGAAAGCTATAGAGTCTCAAGTGGAAAAAACTACCACATTGGTAGTTTTACTTGGTGAAATGAGTATAAAGATAGGAGCCTCTCTCCTAAGGGCATGCCCCTTGGGGTGACCCACTTTTGTGGGAGAGGGAGGACCTAACGGACCACCACACACGCGCGCGCGCCGTCCGACCGACCGGTCGGTTGGTTGGATGGATGGCTTGAGACTATATACATATTTTTTGGAGAAATTCCGAACGAAATTAATTATTTAATAATTAATTATTAATCGGTTATTCTAAGGAATATTCCAAAGGATAATCGATTGAAAAGGTATATTCGAAGGATAATCTCCGCAGGATTTATCCTAACCGACGGTTTTAATTAAGGAAGTATTTATCTTCCTTAATTAATCCGACTTATTCCCCAAGCAAGAGGGTATATTCCTAGGGGTTCGGCTCCTATAAATAGCCGCCTCCCCAGCCCCTCTAAACACATCACAACGAGCATAAACACAAAAGAGAGAGTGTTCAGAGAACTCAGGTTTTCGCACAAAACCGCGAGTAGTCAGAGGAGCTGTTTTATCCTGGAGACGACCGGTTGATAGTCTGCCGTGCGCATCGAGAGCAGTGCCGCGAACGTCTTAAAGAAAGCGACCTAGTCCGCGACTCAGCTCCAGATTCGGTATCCTCATCTTGTTGTTGTTCCGTTTCTAACACCACCACATTAGAGTAACAAAATCTATGCGTAGCAACACACAGTCCATGCAATTGATTGAGACATTTTCAACCCCACCCACCAGACCTGGACTCTCTTCCTCCTGATTTCTATCTTCTTCCCAACAAATTATTAGTATCATTTAGTTCATTAAAATGCCACATTTCCAACCTCATAATTTAATCAAGTTACTAATTTGGCTACTTCAAAGGAAGTTACGCTTTTTAGGAATTGGGTAATGTTGCTTAGATTATAAGGATGCTATTGAGTGTAATTTTTTTTTACAATAATTGACAAATATTGATGTTATTGTTTAATACAATAATTTTTGCAAGATCTCGAAAATTATGCGGAATCAAAAAAAATTTCACCACGATCGGATAACCGAGCACAAAGTTACATTTTTTTAAAGATTTGACGAAGGTCAGGCCTTCACCGCCTTTCTCTAGAGCGGTGATGCACTGCTGATGCAATCACCGCCCTCCTCTACAGCGGTGATGCAATCATCGTTTTCCTCTAACGCGGTGATGCAATCACCGCTCTTCTTTAACGCGGTGATCCAATCACCGCCTTAGTCTGACGCGGTGAAGGCCCAAACATGCGTAGATTGGGAAATATTTTCATAACGTGTGTATTTTGAGAATTTTTTTTTTAAAAACATGTGTACAGTGGGAAATTTTCCACCAAACTATGAGTCAACCTTGAAACTACATCTGAAATATGTAATGTGCAACCCAACTTGACATCCAAATATGGTTTGCCAGATAAAAGAACTTCTCTACCCATAAGTTCACATTGGTTAACCATCACAGTAATGTATAAGATGGACCTCCCCAAAAGCCTATACACCAAATCATAATAACTTTTGTCAGTGCATATATTCCTTCTTTCTCGCATATATTCCTTCTTTGTTAACTTTTGTCCGTGCATTAGTATCTAACACTTAACAACTCTCATTTATTATTCAAACAATCCTATACACCAAATCATAATAATTTATAGGGTTAATATTTTTGTATGGCTTGAACTTTGACCAAAATAAACATCCTGGCCAATTTTTTCGATCTATAACATCCTGGCCCGAACTATACACCAAAATAAATAATTTGGCCAAACCCGATGTTTGACCGTTAACTTGGACGATCAAACGCGTTGACTAACGGTCAACGCACCACATCACTGCCACGTCACTGCCAAGTCAGAATATCCGATAAATATTTATTTTTTTCGTTTTTCGTTTTTTGGTTTAACTAAGGTATTAGATGATTTTTTTAATTTTAATAATTTAAAATTAGGGAATGTGTGGAAATTGTGAATTATTTTAAATATTTTATGCTGACTTGGCAGTGACATGGCGCGTTGACTAACGGTCAACGCGTTTGACCGTCGAAGTTAACGGTCAAAAGTCGGATATGGCCAAATTGTTTATTTTGGTGTATAATTCGGGCCAAGATGTTATAGATCGAAAAGATTGGCCAGGATGTTTATTTTGGTCAAAGTTCAGGCCATACAAAAATATTAACCCTAATTTATACAGTAAGCATAATTTTTTCGTGTTCTTCCATATTTGAGATTTTGAGGCATAATCTTTTCGTTATTCTCTTGATGTTTTTATATACCTTCAATTTCTACCAATTCTAGATGACATATATTTCCTTCCAACTCCAAATTCATATCCGATAATAAAAAATCCACACCTGGGTTTGTGATGAAGCAAGAGAGCAACTAAAAGTGTTGTCGGAAATAATGGCATGATTGGGTTCTTTCTGCCACCGACACCTTCTGCCAATGTAACCACCAGTTCCATGTCACCCCACTTGATAGTGGAGGAGAACCCCAAGATGGTGGTGGAGAACTGCCAAGTCATAGAGGAGGGTTTGAATGGACTTGTTCGAGGTTCACAACAGACAAGCCTCAGACTTGCTTCTCTTAATGAATCATTCGAACGTCTTAGTTACACTTTGGATAGATGTTTTGATCAATTGTTTGAAGCGATCCTAAAAAATCAAAATAGTTTGGATGAGTGTAAGATTTTTTTTATAGAACCAGTGGTACAAGAAATGTCTTTACCAAAAAATGGTATAGATTCGCCACCAATCAATGCTACTCGGGGTACAAATCTTTCTCCCTCCGGTGGCGGGAATACCCAGCCACGACCAG